CTATTGAATGACTAAAAGCGGCAGATGAAGGTAACTTTTTAGCCTCCAAAAACTCGAAGGACTCGCCGAAAGCGAAGTAAAAAGTGGTATTCGAGAGCCTCTTGCCTTTTCTCCCAAAAGCCTTTCTCATCCAGTCAGGTTCGACCACGCTCAGAACTTCACTATTCCTCAGCGACACCACATCCACCGATACCAGCGGGTAAAAAGGCAGATGTAGTTTGAAGACGACCCGGCCTATTAAAATTCACATTTTGTGGTGGGACATTTGCAAATAAGGCGAAATTGTATTTGCCCCTACAATTGTCTCTATTCACCCTACTTTGTTTTAAGTGATAAGGGACCGGTAGTTGAATTTTCCCATAAATATATACGTGGGCCTTACGTTTCGATAGCATTTCACCTAGCCTTGCTTCCAAAAATGTATTCTCATTCCGGCAGGAATGGATTGTAGTTTAGACCTCGCTCGACCTGGTTTTATCAGCATCCATAGTGGGACTCGAACTCGTAAGCTAACTATGAAAAAAAACAGTAATTTATTCCCAAAATCTTTTTAATGGCATGCATTACTTTTTTTTGCAGCGGGAAAAGAGCCGATTAAAAAATGAGTCAACAGGCTTTTGTGTATAGAAAAATGCGCTTCGGTACTGTCTCACTACCTTTGCTCCATTTTACTTGATGCATACAGCATGTATGATGTAACACAAAGTAGGAACCCTTATGCAATTTTCTTGATTGCTAATTCAGATTTAATCCGTAAGTAAGCAAGATCAAGAAATTTCCCTTTGGGATGGCTACAACAGGTAATACTTCGGTACTGTCTAAGCCACCCCTGATACTTTGAAGACATAAAGTATTGTATCTTCGCAAATATTTTCGGCCTTTGTCTTAGTCCACTCATCCGATAAATAATTAAGAATTGTTTTATTCGCTTAAAAATGATGTTCCATATCGCTTGTTGCCATCTTGACTCTAATTTACCCTCAAAATTAACATTTCTTTTAAAATCGTAGACATGAAAACCAAGATGCCGTGGTCTTCTGTTTGGTCTTCTGTTTACTGTCTTTTCTAATAATGCATATTGGATTAAAGTAGGTAATATGAAATCGATAATAATAATAATAATGAGTCTACGTAGTTGCAGATGCAAACCATCGGCAGCAGGAAATATGTTGATTGGGGAATATTTTAGTTCAAAATAACTATCCAATATCATTAATTAAAAATTACGTTTCATTAAATTACTAATAGGGCAGACTCTACTACTCACTCTACTCGCTTATTGATGTTGCCATTGTGTCAGCTTTCGGAAAAAATAAGTGAACTATTGAAGAAAAGGAGGATTAAAACAACGTATAGAGATAATTATCCAGCCCTTTTTTTCTAAATTAGGGAGGCAGAAATAAAGAAAACAGCCAACATTCTGAATGGGAGGAATGAATGTAAGAAAGTAAGCAGGAACTATTTATGGCTATTTCGTTTGGAGTGATACGGGACTTGCTTTCCCAAAAGGTATTCTCATCAAGGATGAACTTTGCTTTCGACCTCATCCAGGTCTTATCAAGACCCCCAGCGGGACTCGAACCCAGAAAGGTCAGTGATCTCAACATGCTAACCACTACCCTGCCTCGTCACGAGTGCCCTTGGGGCAAGGGCAGATGTGAATTTCAAGGAAGGCTAGGCATTTTTCCCATATCAAATCCTGTGGTGGGATTGTCAAATGCTATACCAGTCGACTGCGCTACTTATGCATTCGACTCAAGGGCTCTCGTGGCAGTTTGGCGTAATGGATAAGGTATCGAGATGACACACTTTACTGTCATGGTCTGACTCCCGCTAGAGGCTGTTGATAGGACCTAGGCGAGGTCGAAACTGCAGCCCACTTGAGTAGAAACATCATGTCTGCCCATATTCACCTTGAACGAAATAGAGTGAATCCCCTACTTTGGAACGAAAAAGAATGCCATTTTGTTAGTTACAATATTTTGTTAATGGGTGAGTATGGATTAGTTTGTTTATTTATTTTAATTGTTTTTAGTTATATTTGAGCCTTGGGTTGGGGAAATCCGCTAGATCTTCTAGACCGAGGATCAGCTCACCTTGCTATTGGTTCGAGGAGAAGCAGGTACGTGTCTATTTGTGTGATTATTACT